TATCAGATGGAGAGAACAAGTCCATGGTTATTAGAGGGGGAGGGAGGGAGGGGAAAGGGGGAGGGGAGGGGCAGAGATTGGATAAGGGGCATAAAGAATAAGTATGATTTGTAACGATGACTATGCTAATAATAAATAAATAAATAAAATAGGTGAAATAATTATAGTACCCGCCTTACAGGATTGCCCCAAGGATTAAATGAGTTAATAACACAAAGCACTAGACCAGTGCCTGGCATAAAGTGTTACGTAAATGCTATTATGTTCCTATTGTGCTTGGATGACAACTCCAGATTAGAAGATAGAGAAGTCTGAAAGTGGCCTCTGTGTTCTTTCATTCTGCAGACCATTTGGTGTATTTTTCTGGTCCAGCTCTGCCAGGACGGTGGCCCTTTAGGGAACACTCATGTTGAAATGGCCCGGGCATGGAGGAGCTGGTCGTGAAGCATCAGAGCTCACTGTTCCACCTGAAGAATAGCCACTGCCTTCCCTCAGACCAGATATTTCTATTTTCTGGTCAGTGGAAGCCAAGCAGGCTCCCAACTCTGCTCCCAGCTCTCCAACCTAGGCATGCATCCAACACCTCACAGTCTCCTCAAATCACGCTTCATCCCATCTTCAACTTCACTCGTCACACTTCCGTCACCTCAAACGACCACTCATCTTCTCTCCGCCAGCACAGATTCCATCACCAGCGCTTGGGAAATGGGCGAGCTCCAAGCCCACTGGGGAGTCTGGGTCCTACAAGCTGTGCTACAATAGAAGGGTTCGATGGGCATTAACTATTTCTCAGCTCCCTTTTGATAATTACAAGCGTGTTTGCAAATTAAAAACCCTATACATTTCTACCCTTCAGAACTCTATGTAGCTTTGTTTTATCCAGATTTTCCAAACATATTTTGACTGTAAAACACTTTTCTCATAAAACAAGTCTTCTTGGAAGAAGTGATCATGGAGCTGAGTCCTGGAGGAGCATAAGAGGAAAGAGGTAAAGGAGACAGAGCAGGGAGCAGGGAGAGGGGAGCTGGATCGGGCACGAAGGTAAATTAGCGAGAGCTGAATTTAAGATCTCAGGGTCATGGAAGTCTCCTCAAGGCTTTAAGCAAAAGCATGTAAAATCAGTGCTGCCTGTATACTGATCACTAGTTTTCATTTTATAAAGGTAACGAACTCTCACTACCTGCTTTTGATCTTTGTTTTTTGATTGGAAATCTACGAAAAGTAAAACATTGCATTACCTAATAGCTATACACACATAGTAAAAGTTTCATAAAATGGCTTTTATTACATGGAATGCCCACTTATATATTCTTTTATTTTTTCCTCCTATGGGAAGTCACTTCTAAGAATCTGTACCAATAATCTAGGCAAGCGAAGAGGGAACCCGAACTTTTTAACACCTGTATGCAAATGTGCAGAGACTGCCGTCTCCTCCCTGATATGCTGGATGAAAAAATAAGAGGGATCTACTTTAAGACAAGCAGAAAAGGCTACTCCTTGTTCTTCCACTATGGAGGAGTTGACTCATTTAACCTATGTGCTTGAGTTCCCTTGTCTCTTGTCACAAGTAGGAGGCTGTAGGATCGCTGAGGGCAGGAAGCAAGTGTTAGGTTTACTCTGTTCACCAGGAAGACCCTGGCGCATTGATGGACACGTCGTGCATGCATCAGACACACTTACTGATTGCACGACATTGCACTGAGTTGTCAATTCTTCACCCATTGCAGGGTGAAGACGTTTAGCAGGCTGAGAACCAGTAGTAAGCTTCACCTAAGTACTGTGCATGACCCCAGCAGGTAACCTGAGTTTCAGGGAAAACATCTTCTACTCAGGAATCCAGTGCCTGCGCCAGTGGAAGGAACCCTCGGACTTCCTGCTGCTTAATCCCCTGTGGTCAAACCTCCCAGAGGGTGAGGTCCATGAGGACTGCGACCAGTTTGCATTCTGCTCCCTTTCTTCCCCCAAGGAGGCCTGTCTGTCTACCCCTTCCAGAGCTGCCATCTGCTAACTTCTGAGGTCTTCCTACAGGACTGGCTACATGGTGGGGCTCCGTCTTCTCAGCCGTCTCCTCCTTGCTGCCCCTGAAAATGAGGGCTCCAACCTTTTCAGTTTGAGGGTTTCACTGCTAAACACCCACAGAAACAGAGACTGAGCAACAAACCATCATGCAGGGGTATCACAAGGATGATTTCCAGAATCTCACATAGTTTTCTCCAGTGCCTCCAGTGGCCTGTTGGTGACCCCCCACCCCCTGAGGGTGAATTCCACCAAGCTCTCTTCCTCCCCATCCCTCCTCTCCAGGTTACGCATTTCACCTCCTGCCTGAAGGTCTGAGGCACAATTAATAGTTGAACAATTAGTGAGTTAGTCATTACCTAAGTATCTGGAGTATCAAGTAATCAGGGCAGTCCAGAAGGTCGGCTGCCTTTCAGGGTTTCCCCTTCTTTATACAGGAAATAAAATACCTCGGGCTGCCCCTCAAAGTCACTTACATACCCACATCTTCTTAAAAATCCTGAAAGGAAACTGAAGCGTGGTCCACAATACCCCTCACTTTTATTCACTCCAAGAGTACAGACAGGCAACTCCAGGTGCTAGTCTGAAAAGTCTAGGACGTCAGGGCCGTGTCGCCCAGTGTTGATCAAATACCACAATGGTAACTTCTAGAAGCAAAAGGCACAGTCCATGGAGAAAGAAAAAAGAACTCTCCCCAAAGGGGCACTGCCTGGCTCCGAAGTGGCATCTACATTTGATTAACCCAAACTTTACATCCCTAGACCTGCTGTTTCCCTTGGTGATGTTACTCCCAAGACTCCCTGTCAAAAGCTGCTGGGTTATAACGAAGTTCATTTGCACCTGCTTGGGGTGCTGGAAAACAGCTGCCAGCAAAGCAATAATAGTCCTTATCTGCTGGCCTAAGAGCTGGTTTTCCTTTTCTGCCTTCTGCTTGTCTTTATATCTATTTCTTCTACCCACACCCCCCCCCCAAAAAAATCATATATCAGTTTTTAATAAGAAATAAAATCACAAGCTTTTGTTATTGTTGAGAAGGAAGTACCTCCCACTGTGTGCATAGACTTCACGCACAGTGCCATTCTATTGTTTATATGGAAAAAATGATTTTTGTTGTTGTTTCTAAGAAGGAAAATCTTCTTAGAGAGACCATGGACTGGGTTTGGTGACACAGAGCCTTGATTTATAATCTTAGCTCTTAACGAAAGAGCTTTTTAAAAATATTCACAGTTCCTGATCCCATTGCAACCTTCTCCAAGAGTGAGGCTTGGTCTTAAATATTTTTTAAAACCTTCACCGGTGATCTTGATGTATGTTACTGGGTGTAAGAACCAGTGGTTTGAAGTAAAATCTACTTTTTAATTGTAAAATAAAATAAAATAAAATCTTAGCTCTTCCTCTTACTTTGCTGGGGTGACCTGGCAAAATTCACTTAACCTCTCTGAGCCAGAGTATCCTCATCCGTGGAGGGGGCATGATACCTTCTTCATAGAAGGACAAGGAGCATTTGAAGTGCTCATTTGTGCTTGGCATATTATTCATGCTCAATAAACATCTGCTGTTTTTGTCTTTTTTTTCTTACCCCAACCCTGAGATCTCTAGGTATCTTTATAGGGCAACCAGTATACATTTCATAGTCTTTAGAAGGAGCCTCAGCATGTATCCAATCTGACTTCTCCAGAATCCTTCCCTGCTTCCCTGGGAGCAGGTGGCCAACGCCCATCTAGGACAGGTCTCACCATGATAATGATGGTACTTGCTTTTTATTTAGCTAAAAATTGACTTCTCAAAAAGTTCTACCTCTTGTTCTTAATTGCAACCTCTAGATTCTCAATGAAAAACTAGCAAGACTCTCTGTTCCACCCCAATCCTTCAGCGGACATGTAACCCCAGTTCCCAGCAGGGTCATCACATAACGTTGAGCTTGGTCTAGGCGTGGCAGAGAGCTTCCTGAGTGACACAAAGCCAATTAATAACTGAATCATGTCCCAGACAGCTGGCCGAACTTCCAGCAGAGGTGCATCTCACGGCCTCCCACGCCTTCTAACTGCTCTTCCGACTTTGCCCTGTCCGCCTCCAGTCCACTCACCAGTATCTTTCTCCTTTTTCTCTACCCAGTGCTGACCTTCCTTGCCCCATAGCCTCTGTGAATGCAGAGGTTTGTCTTCCCATGTGGAAGGCATAGCTGAACAAGTTGCTTAGGAAAACTGTTTTTACTAATTCCATCATATCATGTAGGGAAGGAGGTAAAACTTAATTACTTAATTGAGAAATAAGTAGAGAAATACAGCAATCAGGCCATAAAATGGGTAGTTATTCTGATTTTATCCTTAAAAAGATGTCTGTAGGCCTGAACCCAACAATACACCACTAGACCATCAAATTATTTTCATACTGAGGAAAACAGAAGCTCTTTCAGATAATCCTAGGTTCTAGGCTTTCAGCAGAAAAGACAAAGACGCACACTGTAGACCATTAAGCACTTGGGAGGCATGATTTAAACCAGGATGTAACTTAATTATACAAGTGATTTATAAAGAGCCGGGGTAAATACTTCTTTATTTGGGCAGAGGCATTGTCAGGTTAAAGGTGCAGCGGTTCTAAATGCTGTTTGCTCCAGCCCTGTCTTCGATTGCAATAACGTGCGTGTCTTGTCTGTGCTGGTGGATTATTAACAGAGGTTATTGGTCTTCATGGCAAAATGATTGAACGACTGCTCTGAACGTAATCTTATTTACCGGGGTGCAAAAAAATAAAAAAGGACTTCAGGTCACTGAGAACTTATAAATGTCCGTCGTCATCAAGATTCTGCTATATCTGAAAGGCTGAAGCAACTCCTAGGACACAGTTCACAGAGATTTGATTCTCAGCCCCACAATATTGATTGAATTGGAGACAATTACTAGAACGCTCTGGCCAAAAATCCCAGAAGAGATCCCGTGAAGTGAGGAGCCGTTCATCGCTGACCTATACTGTGCTTCCCCAGCATGTGCACAGGAGGCTGCGCCAGGTGCCTGGGGGGCACCCTCATTCCCCTGGTGGTGTGTGGCTTCGTGGCTAACGTCCTGTTATTCTTCCCCGGAGGGAAAGTGATAGACAACAATGACCACCTTTCCGAAGAGGTCTGGTATTTCGGAGGAATATTAGGAAGCGCGGTCTTGGTAAGTAGGAAAGCTTTAAAATCCCCCTAAAGGAGATTCCCCCTGCCTATCCTTTTAAAATTGGGTATTTACTGAACAGGAAGATATGTGATCGCTAACAGAAACCCAAGAACAGCATGATGAAAAGACAGTGCCTTAATTTATTTCCCTTCTCCATTAGGATCCGACAAGGACACAGCGACTAGATTTACTAAGCAATTAATTCCCACGCTTGGGCTGGCAGTTCTCAGGGTCGTTTGAGTCCCATGAACCAAACCAAAGACCAATAATTTCTTTATTCCAACAAGACAGTGCTGGGAAAAAAATTAAAAACAAAAAACAATGCTCTCTAGCAAATCAATTGACTTAAAACCACTAAGAGAAGCAGATGTCAGTGGAGTCCTCTTAAACTCATACACTAGTGATTTCTTTACCTCTGATTCCAATAGAGTTGGGAACTTCCAGTTGAGAGAGAGAGAGAAAGAGAGAGAGAGAGTCATGACAAATGAGGACAAGTTTCCTATCCTTGTCCTAACCCACCCTCTAAATGGAAACACAGGGTGCCCGATCTTGAAATCTTGCCTTATTGAAGCTGAAGTCAGGCCAAGTGGAACCCAGATGCTCAGTACCACTCCATCTGCCCCACCGGCCTTGCTCTCTTAGTTTTTGCCATCCCCCCTGTGCCGCGAGTCCCCATGGTGGCTGGGTCCCCCACACAGCCGGGCGGGCGTGGGCCTCCCCTCCCATGGCAAACCCACTGTGTGGCTCCTCTTGCTGGCAGATGATCTTCCCTGCGCTGGTGTTCTTGGGCCTGAGGAACAATGACTGCTGCGGGTGCTGCGGTAACGAGAGCTGTGGGAAGCGATGTGCGGTGAGTTACCACGTGGCAGCTCAGTCTCCTTGTGCTGGGCAGCGTGGGGGTGGGGACCAGTGACCAGCCCCAGCCATGATGCTGGGGACAGCTGCTGCAAGGATAGAGCTGTGATTCTTCCTGCTAGTACAAAAATAACAATAATATTTTGAAATACCACAGCCTTCACACATGGAGGGTATAAGTACAGTTTTAAGTTTTCCAGACAGGCAGTGATGCTGGGGACAGCTGCTGCAAGGATAGAGCTGTGATTCTTCCTGCTAGTACAAAAATAACAATAATATTTTTAAATACCACAGCCTTCACACATGGAGGGTATAAGTACAGTTTTAAGTTTTCCAGACAGGCAGGGATATCAGAGCCGGAAACAATGCAGGCTTAGAAGGCAGAGACGGGGCTGTAGCTTACCCTCTGCCACTGAGAGGCCATGAGGACTTGGACAAGTCATTTCCCTTCTCTGGCCCTGCATTGCCTCACCTGTAAAGGGGACTGGACACAGGATAAAACATAGTAACCTCCCCTGTCCATAGCCCCCTAGGTTTTTCATCCACACAACTGCCAGGTTCACTGTCTCTGAGGCCCAGCACCTCCCACTTCCACCCAGATTCTGCCTTGGGACCTGTGTTTTTTCTTTTGTTTCATGTGACCATTCATCTTTTAGCATGTGAGCTAGAGAGATGAGGATCGACGTTCCAGGGCACAGTGGAAAGGATGCTGGGATGTGGGGCTGGGGGCCGTTCCTGCACCTGGGCCAGTCACTGCACTGCTCTCCCTTCCTCACTCACCTGTAAAACCAACAAGTTGGACTAGATCAGAATTTCCCAAGTGTGGGGCAAGCTCTGGTGGTACAGATGTGCTAGATCTTTTAACAACATAGAATGTTATTCTTTTCCAATTCTTCATTCCTTTTGATTCTATAGAAAAAAAATGTCTTATTTTGATGGAAATAAGTTCTTATTATTTCTAACCCTTCATAATCTTCATTTCTAACAAACGGAGAACAAGACTCAGGCTGCAGGAATGCAAGTAACATTATTTTTAACTACAATTCAATAATATTGTGTTTATGTTTGCCAATGATTCTAGTTTTTCATTTATAATTGTGATATATATTAATAAAAAAAAAATAGAGAGTTGACAAAGAAAAATACTAAGACTTCAAGAATATTGATATGGCAAAAATGAAGCTGGTAGAACTGGAGTTACTGGGCTGGATGGTGCATACAGGCAGCTCCCACTCCCGCCTGTGGGTCAGCAGTCCAATTAAGAGACTCAGGAGCCCCAGTCACGCACAGAAATCACTTATCTTAACTTCTTGAAGGGAAAGGTGTGTATATCCATTCTGAAACTGAATATTTTAACATTTCTTTCTTATCATTATTTGTTCATTTATCCTATCAAAAAATATTTATTGAGCACACATGCAGGGCTGAGGCTGGAGATCTGTACGAATATTAGTTTTTCATATGAGATCAAAGATCATTCAAAGAGGGTGCACCATCATGAGTCCCAAATACTCACTGATGATTGTTCTTTTAACATTTAAAATCATCATTTACAAAGAGATGTAAAAAAATAACCAAAATTGTGCTTGCTTCGGCAGCACATGTACTGAAATTAGAACAGTACGGAGGAGATTAGAGTGGCCCCTGTGCAAAGACGGCATGCAGATTTGTGAAGAATTCCATATTTTTATGATGAAAAAGTTTTGGAAATCGATTAGAGGTGGTGGTCACACAGCATTGTGAATGTAATTAATTCCAAGGAATTGTATGTTTAAAAATGCTTAAAATGGCAAAACTTATATATATATAATCACAATAAAAAAATCAAGTAATTAAAAAACAATTTATTTGACACAATTATGTAATATGCTATATATAATAATGTTATTTTTTATATAATCAATTATAAAGGAAAGGAAGAAATACGTAACTCATTTTCTCCTTGAAGTGTAATTGCATTATACCTTGTGCACTTTGAGGGGATAAGTTGGAAATGAGAATTTGGAAAAAAAAGAGCAATTAAGGAAACAATGAAAAGACAGAAGAATCATTGCTTAGAAATCTAATATTTCATCCCTGGTGCAGAGTTGAAGGCTAAAGACTGACCAGTATAAAAACAAGGGTTTTTTGTTTGTTTTTTGTTTTTAGGTTTATATATTACCACAGTGAGAAGGGAAATAGCATTCAAAGTATTATGCAAAACTTGTCTTGTTCATTAGATTTAAAAAGTCCACGATGAGGCAGAAGAGTCATGTTCTTACAGGCATAGTTCAGTCAATACCATCTGAAATATTTGGTCTGCCCAACATGTCTGTCGGGACCCCCTAGCCCTCCAGGTGAAATCTGCCCTTAGCAGGAGTTGAGGATAGCTCCTCCAAATGATGGACTGACTGTCCAAATGACCGGGCATCATCGATCAGAGGACCAGCCGTGCCAGACTGTCAACTAAGGCACCCAGCCTGGCTGCCCCAGCCCAGGCTTGACCACATGCTGGGTAGCCAACACAGGATTTCTTGTTTTCAATTTGTTTGTTTTTAATATCTAGATATTTTACTTCTTTTTCAAAAATTGAAAAATTAACCTGCCAGCCCCATGCCTGCTTTTTGCCACAGCAGCAGCCTGCACTGGACATGGCTGAGCTGCACTCATTCAGGGTCCTTGTCCCACCCCTAAGGCCATTGAGATTATGCCCCTGCTTTAGACTCATTTTCCTTCATGTTCTGAGACTCTGATGCACCAAGCAATAGTCATTTTTTAAAAATAAGGTATTTATATTTTGCCAGACAAAAAGAAAAAAGCTATAGTGTAATTTGGTCAGAACTATAAAGATGAAGATTTGATTATTTTTCCAGATGCTCCTGGCACACCCCTCCACGTACTGAGGGGACACCGGGCCACTGTGGAGCATGGTTTAAGCAGCCCTGTGGAGGAAAGGCCTGTGATACACACACTTTGGAGGCTGCCTCCTGCTGCCCACTCTAGGCCTTGCTGTCTATCATTTCTTTCCTGGCCTCTCTCTTCTTTGTTCTGTCTTTCTGGAACATTCTGCAGAAGTCAACTGCACCATTCTCTTCCCTTTCCTTGGGCAGTGAAACCAGGATGTAGGAGATAGGAGGAGCAGGATGTAGTGGCTGCAGAGATAAAGCCAGACAATGAGCTGGAAAGAATCTCGGGATCACCTCATTCACTGTTTTATGGCAAAGCTGAGAAAAAGGAGTCAGGCTCTGCTCTGTCTCGGAGCAGGAAGAATGCTCAGCGCCAAGGATCTGCACTCTCTCAAATAAATTAGGCCAAATGAGGGCCAGGCAAGTGAGCCCTGGGACAAAACAGGAAGACTAGGGTGACTTCCAAGGTGGGCTTTGAAAACCCTGAGCTGGGTGAGTTTTCAGGTGACAACCTCTTCTTTCATGCAGGAGATTCTCAGTGGCCTTCTGGCAGCTTGTCTGTGGCTGGTTAGAGTCCACTGCTCTCTAATATTTTTTTAAAAATTGATCTCTCAGGGCCCAATGGGACAGCTAATTAATTTTATCAACTCATTTATGCCGAGGACATGCTTTAATAAGAGGCTTTTAGAGACTTTGGACTTGACTCTAAGGAGTGTCTTTAATTATGGGAGAGAGGGTGGATTGATAAAGGCGGTATTTGGGGGCAGTCAGGCATTGCAGCACCCTTAAAGCCTGTCACAGGTCAGGTTCACCCCACCCACAGGCAGGGCCATATGGTTGACCTGCCCGTTTTGAAGGAAGATTTGGTCCAAAGCAGTCTGTGTGCTGTAGTCAGCACTTCTTCCCATGCCTGGCTCAGCAGTGCCCCCTAGGGATACCTCCTAGGTCAGCACTTCTGGGGACACCCTCTTGCAGAGGCCAGAGACGCCAGGAGCATTGACTCTCACCTACTTCTTCATTTCTTGGAATGGTACCCAGTTTGAGCAGGATTTAAGAAAGGCAATTCTTTTGGAAGAATAGATTATCCTAAAAGAAAAAATTAAAGTATGGAACCATATTTCTTCACTAAATATTTTCTATGCTTCTAAATCTTCTGCTGTAAAATGATCGAGGCAGTTGTTCCCTTTCATAAGAATGACGCAAGGACTGGGGGAAGATTTTGCAAGCATTAGTGTGAGGGGAAGGGTCAGAAGTACCAACTAAGTCCCTGGGGTATTGAGGACACATAATTCCTCAATAAGTATGCACTTGTTGGATAAATGGAGTGAATGAACACCCTGGAGAGATTTCAGGAGGTTTCCATACTTTATCAGGCTCAATCCTTACAATAACCCTTTGAGTTACGTATTAAACTTGTTACTTTATGAATGAGGAAACTGAGGTTTATGCGAGTTAAGTTTCTGGCCGCCAACCCCACCCCCTTCCCAGGCCTATTGAGGCAGATACAGGATATTGATGTTTAAGAGAAAAAAGACTCAGATATTCTCTATACGTCTCTTAGAATGTTTGCTAAAGAGGAATGTCCACGCGCACCAGAGATGTTTCCCCAATATGTTGTCACTACCCAAGTCTCTAAATGCCATGTCCTTAATCCACCCACTTTTCCTCCCTCCTAACTCTCAATGTCTCCTCCATTTGCTTCAGCCAACATAAGCACATACGTGATCGAGGACACACCACAGTGGTGACAGGGCAGGCATGTGATGCCACCTTGTCTGCCTCCAGAGCCCGACAGAGAGGGAGGTCTTAAA